TCCCGCCAAAAAGAAATGGTCCAAATGAAACAAATTACTTTGATCGTTTCTAAATAAAAAATGAGTGTAAATGAAACAAAATTAACAAGTCTATTTTTAAAATGTAAGGAGTAGAAAATAGAGATGATTGCAAAAAAAAAAAATGTTAGTAGAATTTAAAAAGTTGTCTTTAAAAAGTAATTACTCCTTGACACATCTGGTAAGAAATGAAGAATTTAAAAAAGCTGTAACCTCACCTCAGGAGTCAGTTTGTAGATTTTGTTTCACTGAACCTCACAAGTATTAAAATGTGGATGTTTTGAACATGGGTATTTGCAGAATCTCTGGCCATAAATATTCCAACACCTTTCTATGCTTCCAAAGTCTTGTAATCTTGCAAATCGATTTTGAAAAAAATGAAGTGTTTTACTCTTTACTATGGATTTGTTTTGGCATAAGAATGCAGACAAGTTGTTTCCACTTTTACTTCTGGACTACTTTCATCCTTGTGAGGTAGCAATCTGTGATGAATTTTCTTTCTTTTTTTTTTTTTTTAAAGGAACTAAATGTTATTTGTAAAACTGATTTATTACCTGGAGCTATTTGGGTCATTGGCTAGTTGACTTAAATAAGAGGGGTTGGCTGATTTACCCAATAAATCGAAAGAATATACACATTTGAGCTAAATGAAAGATACGTTTAATATTTTTTTTTTACCTATTTAAGTGTTTAAAAAAAAAAAAAAAAAAAAAAAAAAAAGTCCTGTAAGACATTTTCATGAAGTAGCCTTTCCCTTTTTTTCCCCTCTGTTTGGCATTATATAGATTCATGTCTGGAATATTGTTACCATTTTACTTTTTTGTTCCATTTTTGGAGCAAGCACTGTTTTCGTAAAGTCAATGAATGAATACCTGTCATTCCTGTGTTCCAACATTCCAGGGCGTCGCACCAAACTCCCCGCTCCTGGAGGAGACAACAGTCACATTGGCATTATGACCATCCTTTACAATAACATTGGCAAGGACCTGTCCAGAGTCTCTATGCCAGTGGCTCTTAATGAGCCTCTGTCTTTGCTGCAGAGACTTAGTGAAGAGCTAGAGTATACAGAGCTGTTGGACATTGCCAATAACACTGATGACCCATATCTAAGAATGGTAAGGGTGGCACTCTATGATTCACAAACTGCTAGGGCCATAATTATACTGGATAGTAGAGAAATGATTAAGAGATTTTTTTTTTTTTTTTATGTGGCAGCATTCTCAATTTCTGGTTATGCTTGGGCATCTT